TTGTCTTTCAGCATGAATATTGATGGATGGGAAGCAATGTTGTTCATTGGAATCAATGCTGCCATTAGGTAATTCAGTCTAAATTCTTGTAGAAAAATGTACTCCATTTGTTTTTGAGTTTGTTTTAATGCATCATTGCTTTCTCAGCGTACGAGTCTCAAATGAGCTTGGGTTAGGGCGTCCCAGGGCTACCAAATATAGTGTATATATTGCAGTGTTTCAATCACTCCTCATTGGGATATTCTGCATGATATCAGTACTAGCAGTAAGAAATCATCTGGCCATTCTTTACACAAACAGCAAGGATTTGCAACGAGCCGTTGCTGACCTTGCTTGGCTTCTCGGAATAACTATGGTTCTTAACAGTGTTCAGCCTGTAATATCAGGTGTTGCTTTTATTCCATTTTTACTGTTTCTATGTTTATAAGTGTCCTCGCCTTTGTAGTCCTTATTGTAGCAAATATTGTTTTGCAGGTGTTGCTATTGGAGGTGGATGGCAAGGTTTAGTGGCTTATATCAATTTGGGATCTTACTATGTTTTTGGTATTCCTCTAGGATATACGCTTGGTTATGTCGCTAACTTTGGAGTCGTGGTAAGTAAACTCACTTTTTAATTTCACTCTGCATCTTTTATGGAGTAGGAAACTCTTCCTTTTAGTATCTCATACTTTTTAATTTTGTCTTGCAGGGTCTATGGGGAGGAATGATAGCAGGACTTGCTTTGCAGACACTGCTACTCTCATTTGTACTCTATAGAATCGATTGGAATAAAGAGGTAAGTGAAACATTTGGTGATTTTTGTACAATTAAATTTTCTGTTCCTCTTTCTTTGAAAATTACAGATGAAGCAATACTAGTTAAATTCATAGTTTGTTACAGATTTTTGTTGAACCTTCTGATTCGGTATGATTTAGTCATGTGTAATAATAAGAAAATGAAATGCAGGTTGAGCAGTCTGCAGAGCGCCTACGCAAGTGGGGAGGTCAAGACTTTGAATCTGAGAAAACTCTTATTTCAGAGCCTACGAAGGATTTACCATAAGACTAACATTTTGTGGTGACATCAAAGGATGAAGA